TGTGTGTGTGTGTGTGTGTGTTGATGCAGAAGGAGTTTGTGCGTCTGATCCAGAGCAGCGGCGTCCTCGTGGTTCTCTCTCAAGCCTGGATAGAGGAGCTGTACCGCCAGGTGTTGGAGCGCAACCTGCTGGCTGAAGCCGGGTACTGGTGCTCACCTGAGGAACACACACACTCGCTGCCGCTCATCACTATGCTAACAGGTACACACACACACACATGTTAATACTTGTATAAATACTACTTCATATATAAAAACTGTCTCTTATCAGTTACTGTCATCACGTTACTATGGTTACATGCTTGTGATGTCACATCAGATGTGTCATGAATGACGACTCCCTCCTCGTCTCTCAGATATCGATGGTCTGGGCAGCAGTGCGATCGGCGGTCAGCTGATCAGGCGGCCGTCCAGCCAGTCCCCGTTCAGCTGTGACAAGTCGTGCAGCGACAGCGTGACAGCAGGTGAGTGAACGTTGTGACGGATCCTGTCAATCATTCATCGATGTCAGAAGTGAAACATCAGAGTTTGTCTGCGGTCGCAGTTTAAATAAAGTTTAGAATAAAGTCACCTGTCACCTGCCGATAGGTGAAGCCTCAACATGTAAATAAAGATGGACGACATGACGGCTCCCCAAAGTAAAGCCAAAGCGTCTCCATCGCCCCCTGGTGGCTGGCTGCAGTATCACAATCTCTGCCTCCTCCATGTTGGTAAAGATGTTAAAGTGAGTCTGATCCACTCGAGTCGGAGTGTCTGCCAGCCACCGTGTGTGGGCGGGGCAGTGTCCCTCCATCAGTGCAGGACGGCTGAGGTAGAGACTCACCTGTTAGCTGTTAGCATCCTCTTCTCAGTTTGTCCTCAGAGAGAAAAGAGCAGCAGGACACAGACGTCTGTCTCCCCCTGGAGGATGGAGGGTCAGTCACAGTTACCCTGGTAACCACTGCTGGTGTGTGTGTGTGTTTCAGGATCTGTGTTCTCACGCTTCATCCTCACCAGCGTCTGGAAGAACCTGATCGACGTTCTGTCCACGCCTCTGACGGGCCGCATGGCGGGCAGCTCCAAGGGTCTGGCGTTCATCCTGGGAGCCGAGGGCGTCAAAGAGCAGAGCCAGAGAGAGAGAGACACCATCTGTCTGAGTTTAGACGGCCTGCGTAAGGCCGCCGCGCTCAGCTGCGCCCTCGGTAGGTTTATAACAGCACTGCAGCCAGAGACGGAACGTCACACTGACCTGTGACTTTGATGACTTTGATTAAACCTGAAAACACTTTTCATCTGTGACACACACACACACACACAC